AACCACCCGGTCGCTCGATATCGACACACGGGCCTAGCCTGGTCTGCACCGCCCGATTGTTCCCAACTGCTACCACCCTCTCCGTTGTCCGTCACATCACCGCCCTCCTCCTCCGCCTCCTCTTCCTCCCTCCCCCTCTTCCCTCCCTTTCCCCTCCTCCTGTCCAGCCATGGCTATGGCCGTTAGGTCGCAAACGCCAGTGCAGGACACTTACGGCTCTATTCCACACCACCCCGACCTGCTGTTAAATCGCGGGTACAGCACGCGCTCTAGCTCCCGGCCGAATTCGATCGTTGCCAGCACCTCCGGTTACCTTGCGCACGGCGCCAATCCTGAGGCACCAACATCTCACCCGTATAACGGCCGCTTTCACGAGGAATTCGATGTCGCCAGTCAGCGTGACTCGGTAGACGGTCCATCCGGCATGCAGCGATCCGCTTCCCAAATGTCACAGACCCGTTCCGCGACCCCGACCCGGACCAGTACCTTGAAGAAGAAAGCATCCCTCAGCAAGAGGGGCAGTATGCGCCGCAGCGGTAGCAAGCGCAGCTTGCGCGCGGGCAGTGTACGGAGCCTGGTCCTGGGTGACAAAGAAAAGTATGGCGCCGATGGCGAAGATCCGAACAGCGCTTTCTATGTTCCTATTCCCACGAATGGAAGCCCGACTGAGGTTCTGGCCAATCGCTTTCAAGGTATTTCAGCATGTTGTCCCCGATTTTGGGTCTCTTGTGTGCTAATTCATGGTAGCATGGCGCAAGGTCTTGAAGGACCTCATTATCTTCTTCAAAGAAGTGCAGAAGTCCTACGAAACCCGATCGAAACTGTTCCTGTCAGCATCCAATATCATGCAGAACACATCGCTGCCCCCCACGTTCCTCAAATCCGGTGGTCTGTCCGATGCGACCGACATTTTGCGTGACTTTCACCGACAAGGATACTTGGAAGCGAACAAAGCCGCGGAGGTGGAAAGCGAAGTCGTGAACCAGCTGATGGGTTTGCGAAACGATCTACAGAAGAAGACCAAGGAAATTCGGGGTCTCTCTGGTGATTTCCGCAACTCCGTGGAGAAGGAAGTCGACGCCACCCGCAAAACAGTTCGACACTTGCACGAAGCGCTGGGTTTGGTTGACACCGACCCTTCTGCAACCTCTGGGAGAGGCGATCCTTTCATCGTTCGCCTGGGCGTGGACAGGCAAATTGAGAAGCAAATCGAAGAGGAAAACTACCTGCACCGGGTATGTGGTTCGTTAGCAAACTTGCAGGATGCGGAGCACTAACGTTTTCTAGGCATTCTTGAACCTAGAACATTCTGGTCGCGAGCTCGAGTCCATCGTTGTAGGCGAAATACAGAAAGCCTATAATGCATATGCCAGCATCCTCAAGCGTGAAGCAGATGAGACATATGACACCGTCGAAAAACTGCGCGCGGGGCCGATCTCCATGCCTCACGATCACGAGTGGAACTCCTTCATCGCGAACACGGATGAACTGGTCGATCCGCGCGTTCCTCTTCGCGATGTGGAGAATATCACATATCCGGGTAGGGATCATCCCGCGGCAGTGGAGGTCCGATCCGGGATGTTGGAGCGCAAAAGCAAGTACCTCAAGAGCTATACGCCCGGCTGGTGAGTAACACTCGGGATGAAGGTCCCATGCGTCCTAGAATAACTCTTGCTGACTTGAATAGGTATGTTCTGTCTCCTACTCATCTTCACGAGTTCAAGTCTGCCGATCGAGTCGCATGGCAACAACCGGTGATGTCATTGAACCTTCCCGAGCAGAAGCTGGGGTCGCATTCGCAGCCAGATTCGACATCGCACAAATTCATGCTCAAGGGGCGACAAACCGGGACCATGCACCGGGGTCATTCCTGGGTCTTCCGCGCGGAGTCGCACGATACGATGATGGCCTGGTATGAAGACATCGAGAGCCTCATCTCGAAGACTGGCGAGGCTCGGAATGCATATGTGAGGCAGCATATTCGAACTGTGAGTGGCATGAGCTGGCGGAACAGCAGTGATGGGATGGATGAAGACGAAGCAGACCGCACACCGTACTCTGCAGAGTCGGCAGTCTTGCACCAGGAACGTCCGACGTCTCAGCCTCGCGAACCGGGCGGGCGTTTCCCCAGTGACGTGCAAATAGACCGCCATTTGGAGGCTCCACTGTCACCCTCTAGTGGTGAGAGCTCTGGTGAGAGAGATCTTCTAGCCGCAGCCGGCTCCTTGCCTGACGGTCGGGATTCATTCAGCAATGATGTAGAGATGGGCCAGAATCGTGCTGGCAGTGCTGCTGCTGCAGCTCCAGTGGAGAGACACGATAGCTACTATGGCAGCTGGATGAGCACGTCAGATGGCGGTCGACAGAGACAGTTTGGCCAACACACTCAAAATTCGAACGACAACCGGGAAAGAATCGGATCTGATCGCGGGAGTACCACGAATTTATATGTGGCGGGACTTGGGTCCACAAACTCTCGCGACCCTTCTCTGACCCGCCAGAGGGAGCGCGGCGAGAGCACATCAACCGCACCAACAACGACGAATGTAACCGACTACACTCATACCACCGTGCCCACGTCGATTGATGAACGAGAAGAGTCTGACGCTCAAGATGACACCTTGGTGGATGACGGTGTGGGCATTACGAAGCAGCAATCGGCGGCTTCGGTAGACGGCTCAATGCGGACGCCACTGGCTGGACCTGTCACAACCGATTCGGCGGCTGCCTCGCAAACCGGAAGCCTCAGGCGTCCTCCACCGCAGTCCAAGAATAGTGTGTCGACGCTTGAACTACAGATTCCAGGCCATTACCCTCCAACCGGTATGGCTGCATAAGCAACGACTGTGCTCCGGCGCTGTGTTGCTATTTCCCTATGTCACCAATTTCCTTTGTTGATTTCCTTTGTTACTTTCCTATGTACATTATTCTCACGCATGCATATGTGGATGTGATGATCTCTTCCATCGAAAGGAAGATTACTCACTTCCAAAACCGGGAACGCTGAAGTCAGGCAATGAGCCTACTAGCTGCGCCCCTAACATATTTGACATATCACTTTTCGGCGTTTGCAATGTGACAGGTGGTGGTGACCGGTCCACGGATGGATGGACGGACCGGATGGACGGTTGGATGATTAAGGCGTTTGGATCAATTCTGGATCACTGGATGGGACATGTTTCTTTTTTCACTTCTTGCACTTGTGCACCGTTTGCGATGCCTGGTTTCTTCAATTCTCTGTACAATATTCCCCCACCATTTGAACTTTTCTTGGTCTTCATCTTATTCTTGCTTCAGCTGGTTGATCTGAGCTTTCTTTCTGCGTCTGCTATATTTTGCATGCTTGTTGCTTTGCTTGTTTTCGAACCTAGTCTGGTCGTCGGGAGTTTGAATCCTCGGATGGATGTATGCAAACAAACACACGGATCGTTTGTCCTTCATCAGGACTTTGGATATCTATCTATATAGGTTACGAATGAACTGAACTGAATTCCAACATGCTGTCAGAATTAATAGAAAATTAAGATATCGACCTCCTTATCGACACGGCCGGAAAGCCCATTCTTCTAATAATATAACGATGCCAAACAACTTTCTACGAGTGATTTCCCCCATGACCGTTGGACCATTCACAAAATACATCTCTCCATCGCCAATAGATACATACATAGCTAATCCCAAGGGGAAAAGCTAAACAGCTAAACCGATCCTGATCCCGTAAAACACAAAGGAAGTATCCATCTCATCCCAACTCGGGGTCCTTCTTAACCAAGTCGTCCAAATAAGTAATTATCGAACCCCGCAAGAATGAATCCCCGTGGGGTGTGCGCACCATATCAGAGTGCTTGATAAATAGATGATATCAAATCTTCCTTTTGTCAAGAGATAGGAAACAAGTTTTCAGAAGAAGGGTCGGTTAGTCAATAGTAGTTAGATGACTTTCTTTCTGTCTCGCCTGCAAGCTAGTTTAATAGTAATGTCAAGTATTTTCGTATACATATCCCCAAGACTTGAAGAAACTTGGGACAGATTAGCTTTTATCCAATGGATATAATTAGTGGCAGTTGCGCGATACGTACTGGATGACTTTATAACAGGCTGGGAGGACAGTTAAGGGTTTAATTCGGTTTACCCGTAACATAGCGAAGTCCTTACTGGATTGTCAGCTGCATGATCGATGCGTGCCACGGCCTTGATCTGTGTGTCTTCTATTTGTGACTCTGCTATAACTATATTATTACTGAATCCCCTTATAAATATTTATTGTCCAAATCGTGAGTAGTATCCGCACCCATTCAACGAACACTCGCTGCTACCCACTGCTGCTCACCTGGTTGAGACCTCAGAATGGCTTCTTGTTTTATCACTTCAGCTCATCTGACAGTGTATGTTCCTCTTCCTGTCTTTACCAAACTCCCGTCACCCATTTGAAGGGCATCGCGGAATGTTTTTGTTTTCGCGGCTGAGATCCTCAGGCGGCTGGAATATGGGTGATGGCTCACAAAGAGCCGGGCAGCCCTAAGGGCCAATGAGCAGTAAAGAAGCCTGAAAACGACCGTGAATGAATGAAGAGAACACTTCAAGCCGAATATCTTTTCTTTGAACCTGCTCGGTTTCTCCTCCTTTTACTGTTGTTCCCATTTTCCTTCCTTCTCCTTCTCCTCATCATTCTTCCCACCTCCCCTCTCCCAGGCCAACCCAGAACTACCTCTTCTACTTGACTTACTTGAACCACTTGAGCCAACCAACCAATAGCCAGTATGGTCACTACTCGGAAAAAGCAAACGCCACCCAAGCGTCCTCCCCCAGCCGTACAAGAGAAGGGAAAGGGGCCAGCTGTGTACCCCAATGGCGAGTATCTCTGTCAACAAGAGGAGTATCATGACATAATGGAACATCATTTTATGATGGGCATGCTAACCCGGCCTCATATACGATCCGCGCCGGAAATAGTCCGCAACGGCTCTAGTCTGCTCGCTCTACGCGTCCAGGGCTGGGCCATGGCATGGGGTGAGAGCAAGCCGATATACCGTCTCTCTAATAATGACAAACGAATGATCATTGCAGGTCTGGATGGTTTTTGCGTCCAAGATGACTGGGACAGTATATATTCCTCTCTTCCCCCTGGCGGTCGTGCTGAATTTGGGATTGTTTTGTTGGAAACCATGATGAACAAGTTCATCTATGATAAATTTGCCGCCTCTACATTCTGGTTCATGGATGCAAAAATGGATGCTGCTGACCAGGAAGGAGATGACAACTTCTGCAAACGACTCGACTATGTCTATGAGAGGTTCAAAGAAAGTAGGTTATAAGACCCTTCGTCCTCCCCCACCCTCTTTGTTTTCTCCCCACGCTGTGGAGTCAATGTCGCTGACTTTACCCTTTTTCTGTTCCTTCTGCATAGCATTGCCCCAAGACGCAGCCTGGTGGAAGTCGACCCTCGTGAGCGTATGTATGATGAGAGCGTCAGAATGGGTGTCCAATCCTCCTCCCACACCACTCCTTCATGCGACACTGGAACGCCGGAAGCCCCTTCTAAAGACGTATGGAGACGAACTGCTAGCGAGCCAGCCATTCCAGCTCTTATTCCGAGGCTCACTGAGCGAGGAAGATCAGGCCATACGCGAAGAAAGAACTCGCGAAGTCCTAGAGGAAGCTGCCCATCAGTTCACCAGTCTCCAAGGCGATATGTTTGGCAATCTTGTAGTTGAACTACTGCCTGACCTTCCGACCTTTGATCGCCATGCCAAAAACATGGATCATCATATCCTTCACGTCGGCTTCATGCCTCACCACGGTGCTCGGGTTCTAATCGTGACACGCCCGCACTACAGCTATCATGACATTGTAGCAACCAATGGTTGGCAATCTCGGCCTCCTCTCCAGATCGTTACCGCAAGGGTTCTGACGGCGCCTAAGGGGCCCAAAGCTCGGACTCGGTGGGCTGCTGCTGGCGATAAGCCCATTTATGTCGCGCAGGGTCACACCAATACCGCAGAGAAGGAGGGAGTGAACCAAGAGGAAGCTGTTGATGAGGGTAGTGATGGTGAATACAAGCCACGGAAGTTGCGGAGGACATATTTGCGAGGGGCTGAAGATGAATAAGGGGTATTAGCCTGGGAGTAGACGGACGTTTGTCGTTGATATAGGGGCTCTATATGATTTCTGTTGTGCTTCAGATCTGTCTCTTCCTTCCTTTCTTTCTTCTGATTTTTGATCGTTTCAATGTACGGCTTGTGTGTCTCTGTCATTCATTCCTTTCCCATCAATAGATTGCTTCGTTTTCTTCAGCAACCAACTGAATAGTAATATCAATTGTCCAGCTTTCTTACTATACATAGTATAGATTTGGAGCAACCATGATGTCCAACACATGTATATATTACACTAGCTGTGGAAGACTGCCCTCCCGCCCCAAAGACAAGCCCTGCTACTACTCCAGTAAAACCCAATATAGACAACAAGAAATTCCTCATCTCTGGTCCATATGTGCCTCATTCCAACACCTCTCAGATACACTCGAGTGTTTCCAATACCATATAAGCCAGTCTAATGGATAGATTGTTGGAATAGATTGATTGTAAGACCAATTTCTCACTATGATCAACCTACCACATCTGATGATCATACCTGAAGTTAGATATTATATAAGCCAGTCAGGCATGCATGATTGACACTGAAACCCATTATCTATCTATTCTCGATCCTATCTACGTACTCCGTAGATACTGACTACTAGTCACGTGATTAATCAATCTTCCAGAACTGAGCTTGGCACATACTTCAACCAATCACAATAATGCCATATACTCATCCCCCCGGATATCAACTCCGATGTGATAAACAGAACATAACCGAACAGGAAGAGCTTTCGATCTTTAGGTCTTTTTGGCTTAGCGGTTTAGCCTGAACCCCGCTATCTCTGTAACTATTCCCGCTACGAAGTCATCAAAGTGAGCCCCGTACCAAAATACTGACGAGATCTAAGTGGAGGTACGTACTGCAATTTATCTGGTGGTAACTAGAACTTAGCGCGTGGCTGAGGTTTGGTGGTAGTCTACATCGGGAGGGACAGCGTATCTGAGATTAGTTATACAAGACTAGCTCATCCTGGAGATAGATAGATCGTCATTAAAAAGGCAGCAACGATGATGCGGGGCGGCACTTTTGATAGCTGAAACTGCAAGATAGCCAGTAAGAAAGACTCTTACTCTTTGCTACGTGAATAGTAGTGTTTTTCGATATCATTATTGGAAGAATTAAAAAGACGCCAGTTCCTCGGCTGTAGTGGGGGGGTACTACTATTGTATCTATCGATCTATCTACTACATCTATACTACCTTTTTTTCTTTCATTTCTTCACCATCCTCCTTTCTTTAAATATATATATATATATATATCTGTATAATCATCGTGCCACGGCTGTGGTATTAAAGCAGGATGGATTTGGATCGATGGGTTCAATGTAAGGGAGCGCTGGTTTGATTGTGTAAGTGATGGATTACCTACTAAATACAACCTTGCGATATGACTTTCTAGTTATTTTGGGTAGGTATATATAGGACGGGAGCAAAGTCTGCGACTGCGCTGCTGGACCCACCGACCCTTGTCTCGATTGTCAGACTCATTGCGGTGGTCATTGCCGTGATGTAAGTAAATCATACTACTAGTATCTACTATTTACATATACTTCAGAAATCCAGACTACTGACATGGTGATACCTCTATTGGAAACAAATTGAGGAGGCAAATAAAGCGGAGGCCGCTGCTAAAAAGGCAGAAGAAGAGAGACAAGCCGAAGTGATAGATTTTAGAAATAGTGATATATAAGGAAATTGAGTAACTAAGTAAAGGAATTTATACTGTAGTATGATCTTGATTGTGATTCTATATCTACTACTATAGTTATCAGCTACTATTCAGAAGGATCACATTATTATCTGTAGTAAGAAAATTCAAATCGATGATGAAACTTCTATTATGATAGGCTATTATAAAAGGAGACAACTAAATATCTAGATATGATAAAGGGTATTGGTCTATAGCAGTCCCGTCTTTTTCCACAACATGTACTTGTATCAAATCCTGCTGAACCAATCTATTGTATCCTCCTGTATATACCACTGTCTAAAACAGAACATCAATAGATATTAGAGTTAGAAGCTAAGTAGCCATGGCAGTAGTAAGATCCGACTGCGAGTCCCGATAAGGAGAGCAATCAGTAGACGAAAAACAGAGGGAACTATAACTTCGCTTCCTACAACAAGTGAGTAGAGGAGTAGTAACTAGTTAGTAAGGAATCAGGGCTCTTTTGGCAATAGTTTTGTCTTGGGAGCTGAGCTATAACTTTGTTGATCATTATGGGAAGTGGTCATCCTCAAGGATCTGTTACCATTGCCCATAGGGTACTGTTCTACTGGAGAGAATAGGGTTGAATGTTATGTATATTCTTCGAAATTCCTAGAATGTGAATGACGAAAGACCCACCGCATCTAGCTTAGCATACTGGTAACTCCAAGACAATCACTACCATGTATAGTCGGGTATCTCCGTCCTAGCCTACCACTTACAAGCCTACAAGTCAAACAATCAAACGGGTCAAACCCTCCAGTGCAGCAATTTCGCTAGGGCAACCGTCCAAACGCAAAGGAACAAATCCACCAGAAGCCATCCACTTGCAATTTCAGCTTGAACAACATCCGATGCGTCCCCGCCAGACCAGATCGTCGGAGATATGAAACAACAATAGAATGCCCGATAGTAATAGCAAGAAAAACAAATCATAAGGTATGCCTGGTATGGAACAAAATGCAGCATACGCGAACCCGCGCCAACAGATCATTCTTTTCTCGATCCGGAGTGTTACATCGCAAACTTTTTTCGGCCTCGATATGTCCTCCCGAAAGAAAAAAACAAGTCATATGATAGTGTTACATGATCTGATCCTGCGTGATCGGAGCAGTCGGCTCAGTGCCGTCCATCGCAACATCACCGGGCCCGGGGCCGGCGTTCATGTACTTGACGAACGTAATGCCCAGGGGACGACCGCCGTACTGGTAGCCGGTGAACTTGGCTGTAATGCAGTTAGTAGATGTCTTTCTGCGGATGCAATCACAAAACCTACCGATAGCTGTCTCCGCAGTCTCCGTACTATCAAACTGAACCACACCGGTGCCGCGGGAGCGACCATTGGGCTCGTACTGGATCTCCGCACGATCAACCTTGCCGATAGTCGAGAACAGATCCACCAGATCCTCGTTGCAAGTCGACCAAGGCAGGTTGCGCACGTAGATGACAGCGCTCTTGTCGCCGCCGGAGGTAGCGAAATCGGTGAACGGGTTAGGGGGACCAGAGGGCACACCCTCGAAACCACCAGGAGCACCACCGAAACCGCCGGGCGCACCGCCATAACCACCACGGAAGCCTCCGCCGAAGCCGCCACGGCCACCAAAGCCACCGCGGCCACCGAAACCACCACCAAAGCCACCGCGACCGCCGAAGCCACCACGGCCACCGAATCCAGGTCCAGCACCAGCGAAGCGATCCTCACGAACCTCCAGCTGGCGTCCTTGCCAGTCGTATCCGTTGAACTGCTGAATGGCATTCCGGGCATCCTCGGGGGACTCGAAGGCGACAATACCAGAGCCCTTGGGACGGCCGGTGGCATCGGTGTGAACATCGGCACGGATCACAGCGCCCTGCTGAGCTATATGAGAAGTCAATGTCAGTGCTGAAGACGCTTGCGACGGAGAGGAGGCAGAGAAGGCGATTTAATAGAGGCTCTGCCGTCCCATACTTACCAGCTTGGCGGAAAAGATCCTTCAAATCTTGCCAGCCAACATTAAACGGAAGCTAAACATCCCCAGCGTCAATACCTAATCCTAGTCGAGCATGATATCAAATGTCAATGGTGGACGGGAATAAACCAACATTCGAAACATAAAGCTGACGGCCACCAGCGCCGCCGCCGGCAGGGCCACCGAAGCCGCCACCGAAGCCGCCGCGACCACCACCTCCGAAGTCACCACGAGAGGGACCTCCCGTGAAACGAGGCTCGGGCTCACGATCCTGCGCTTTGTCAGTATCCTCCGACCAAGACTTCAGTGTCCCGGAGGGAAATGATGCATCATACCTCACGGACGTAGACGAGTCTTCCCATCAAGTTCTGGTTGCTGAGGGTGTTTACCGCATTTTGCGCTTGTTCCCTGGTTGCGTATTCCACAATCCTATTGTAACTGTCAGTAACACAAAGCTGACCATCAAAGACCAAGGAACCCAACTCACCCGCATCCCTACAGTATCCCGGACGGCCAGGCCCAGCCCGTCAACCCAAACAGTCCATAACAAGCGAACCAACAGGGGAAGAAAAAAAATCCAGAAACACGAAAAGGGAAAGGAAACCAGCCACACTACGCATTGGCGCCCACCTTCGACATTCCATTGGGAAGCAGTAAGACATCGGCAAAGATGACTTCTCCAGCTGTTCGAGCGCGGAACGTCCCCCTCCAAAGTCAGCCACAGATTCCAGACCCGCACAAACGCTATCACACGCCCGGCAACACGATATGACCCTGCTCACCCTGTCTCATAAAATCTTTCAAATGATGCCACTTGACATCGTAAGAGAGGTTGCCCACATAGACGCGACGGTCTTGCTGGGACGACTCGCGCACGGCTTGCATCATTTGTTCTTTGGCGACGGCGCGATCTTCGAACGAACGGGGGGGAGGTGGGTAGCTGCTGCGCCCACCGTAACCAGAAGCAGAATGACCACCGGGAGCGCCTTGGGTCGTACTCATAGGCGAACGAGAACGACGGTCGGAGCGGCGATAGTCGTCACGACTGCGAGAGCGACTGCGGGGAGAGTAAGAGCGACGGCTGCGTCGAGGGCTACGAGAACGACGACGGGGAGAACGAGACCTCTCGCGCTGTGCGTGGTCAGTGTCGTCGAAAGCAGATGGAGACATGAGGCGGGAGGAGAGCGAGCGCGCGGGAATGGCAGAGGGAGGGTGGAGATTTAAAGAAAGGCAAAGAGGTGGTGAGACAAGAGTGGGTTGGATGAGATCAGCGCGCAAGGTCCCTGGAACTGGGGATGGTGGGTGGGAAATGGAGCTGCTTGGTTGGATGGAACGAAATCGGGGGAATCGGCAATGGAGAATGGCAATGGAGAGAGATGGGGGGAGTGAATTGGAGAGTTGAGAGGTGAGTTGAGTGAAGAGGGAAGAGCAGGAGCAGGAATGCACGGGACTGGATTGGATTGGGTCCGAGTTCCGGTTTCTGCGCCAGACACGGGGCCGGTCAGGTGATTTGACACCCCAAACAGGTTTAGCGTCAAACGCCAGACCGGGGGGACCCTGGGGAAAGTCACGGGCAAACTGGACACAGCCCATTTCCAAGAGACCAGCAGTGGAAGGGGGAGGAGAGTGAAGAGAAGAGACAGATGCAAGTGAGAACACAGTGAAATCGCTTCCGTGTGGGAAATAATCAGGCAACAACCAGAAATAATAATCCCAAAATTAGATGCATCATAGATGAAGATCGGAGTGGAAGATCAAGAACGAGGGTGGATAGCTTGCGGGAGTGGCAGCAAACAGTGGGGATGACGGATTCCCGAACGTGAGCCGTGAGCACCGCCCATCCCATCACTCTGTCTAGTATTTGCAGCTGAGATGGACCTGTTCACTGTCTCCCCGTCCAGCTGCCCGCAACAATGGCAAAGAAAGTCCTTTCTTTCCAGAAAAACAACCAAGAACAGCGCTAACTCGCATCCATTTCCCAAGAAGAGCTACAAGCGAATCAACCGATCGGAAAGCAAACTTACTTGATAGGGTCGATAGACGTCGGCTGAAGATTAAGCCTAGATGGTAAGCCACCGAATCCACGGTCGGGAGGGAACAAAGCAGTAGAAAGGAAATTACCAGAGTACGAAAGAGAGGGGGAAAAAAGAAGGGGAAGATTGGGATGGGGACGGGAAAGAAGAAGGAATTAAGGTAGCAGAAAGAGGAATGGAGAGGAGGCGAGACGCGCGAGATAAAGGAGGGTGACGGCGGGAGGGGGGAAGGGAAGTCAAGTCAGACACAGAAGAAAGTGTGTGTGTGGTGTGTGTGTGGGCGGCTGTGTGTGTGAGAGAGAGGGTGAGGAAGTACTACTAGCACAGTAGTAGTAGGTGGGAGTAGTGTGCGCGTGTGTGTAAGAAGCAGCCAGCCAGGGAAGGGGATGGCCGAGAGGGGGGGGAGGGAAAAGAGAGAAAAGGAAAAAGAAACGATGAGACAAGGTCCAAAGCCAAAACCAGCTGAGAAAAGAGACCACTGTCGTGCTGTTCCAGCCCGTGTGTGTGTGTCAAGTCAGATCCAATCCCATGCCATCCCATCCGCCCAGTGCAGAAGCAGTTCGAGTCCGTCTTGTCTGCCAGCCCGTTCGGGACACCATGCAGCACGCGGCGTGATTGGCCTTCCCCCCGGGGGCATCCGCAGCCAACCCTCCACTGAGCGTGGTTGTGGTTGGCGTAGCTGTCGCAGCAAGAGGAATGAGATGCATGGTCGGGATGGTTGGCCACTGCTCTGACTCGGCACGTCCACCCGGCGCAGTGAACGAGGATGGAGGTCCCCTGCTGGTGTGGGAACCCGTGTGATAATGATGAGGGGGGAGATCAGAGATACGGATAGGTATGTGCCGCCTAGACAAGGGGGGGTGGGAGGAGGCACATCAGGGTTGAAGTCAATCCTGTCTGCCGGGCAATCATGTCACAAGTTCATTCCCAGCCGGGACAGGAATGTAAGGTGAGGTAGCCTCAAAGTATGGATTATGGATCGAAGCAAGAGGGAAACGTGGGCTGGATGTCCACCGGGACAAGCCATTGACGGTGGATCACGAGAGAGACAAACAAACAATCCGGGGAACCGACATGGGGGAAAAAGAGAAGTTGCATTATAGGAAAAGTTATCACCCACCCATGTTGATGATATTTCCAATATTGGATTTGATGGAGTAAGAAGAATAAAATGAATTAAAAGGGGGGTTGTGGAAGGGAGAGATACGTTAGTTATCACAAGGGAGAGAATAGTAGTGGTTGGTATACGGAGTAGTGGTGGTAGTGCTGATGATGGTGATGGAACAAGGTAAATGGAGGGACGGACAGGAAGACAGTCTGGATCGCCTTTCAAGACGGACGAACGATTATCAGAACGAAACGGAGATCCGAAAGGGAAGAGGGGGATAATCGGAAGGGATAGTCTAGTGGTCTAGTTAGTACGGGAGTAGTGCCAGATGCAACAAACACACTAGTAGATAACAGTCGTGAGGAGAAGAAAGAGAGAAACAGAGAGAGTCAGTCAGATGGGGCCAGAGTGTGAACAGAGAGAGGCAGCTGGGGATAAGCAAGCCGGCAGGGATGGAGGCTCGAGCGGTCGGGATGTTCTCTGATAAATAAATAAATGGAGAGGGAATAATTTGAAGGAATCAAAAGGATCCAAGGGAAATAAATTCAAGGGTAAGAGATGGTCGAGTGGCAGTAAATGAGGCATTAATTGATCATCCATCAACATCAGACAAGACAGCCTATCATCTTGTCAGGATCAACAGGCACAGGCACCACCACCGCATCCACATCAATGCAGTTGATTTCAGCCCTTCATTTATTTCCACATTACTCCAAAATACCTATCAACTAGATCATACTTAGAGCAATACAGTAATTGACCAATAAGCCACCGGAGTGTGCTAACCCCAAAGTTGTTCCCATTGTGACTCTCCAATCTGCTTCCCCAGCCCATACTCCATCCACTGTAGCACTAAAGACAGCCACTGTCTCATCGCCCCCGACAGAATCAAGAACCCTGAACCACCACAAGCCCCAATCAACTCCATCAATTGACGGTGTAGACCCCTCCCTTTAAACAAAAC